CTTAAAATATTTTCTCTTTATTATGACAGGTGGCCTAATAAATTTGTTAAGCATATAAAGTGCTTAACAAATTTATTAAGACTGTATTTATTGACTCTAATTGGGCATAAAAATAATAATAAAGTGCTTGAATATTTTTTTCTAATCACTAATACTGTTAGTTTAGGGCAGCTGTGGCACAAACCTTACATTGGGTGGTGGTGGTCTAATAAATTTGTTAAACACTGTAGATAAAACGAAAATACATCAACATTGTACTCCAATACACACAATATCAAAGAACAAGGACAAATATAGTTAAAAATATGGCATGTTTTTTCACTAGGGGGAATAATAATCTTTATTCTTTTAATTTATATGCACCAATATATCAAAACTGTTGTGAACATAAATACCAAATTTACCCATGTATATTTTTATAAAAATATTGAAATTTATGAAAAATGCTCAACTAGTCTAAAGACGAGTCTTCTAAAATGCAATGGACAAATAAAAATCACTTTGTGATATCACTGTGATATTCACAATATTGCTTGCCAGCAAAAATGGTGAATATGGTGAATATTTCATATATACCATCCAGACCTAGTATGTACAATGAAAGAGTCCACATTCAGCATCTATGGAGACAATCATCAGTCATTCGCTGCATATGCCGTTTGGCCTCTGAGCAGGTGGTGTGGTTAGCTAGAGGTCACTGATGTCTCTTTGCTCATGAGGTGAGGAAATCTGATTTGTTCTGCTCTATATGGTCTGTCCTGTGTTGCTCTTTGCCAGTATTATAACTGTTTGATGGACAGTTATGTGTACTTCTGTGAACTTCAGTAGGAGAAAATATCAGCTTCCGCTTTACATTCCGCTCTGATTACAGTTCATGCCCTGAGAGAAGCAAAAACAAGTCTGTGGATGTGAATAAGTGGACAATGCATCATCTTGAGCGCTTTGCCTTTCAAAGTAATACTGCTCCTTCAATCATTTACTAAATCACTGTAGGAATATATCTGTTTTAGAATGATGCCCTACTTCTACAGCTAACATAGAAGAATATCTATCATAAAACCTATGATGGATGTTCTTATATGCTCTCCCACCAACATAATTTCATGAAAAATGTGCCGAAACAAGATTCTGATCTGAGGGTCAGCAAGATTGAAATTATTATTATTATTTTTTTTAAGTTAACCTACAACATATTAGAATGATTTCTGAAGGATCTCCTTTGCCATCACATGAATGAATTATATTTTAAAATATATTAAAATAGAAAGCATTTATTTTGTATACGCTGTTTTCGTTCAGATCAAAGCATAAATAAACGTAGAAAACGTATCCGTGTGGTGCGGCTGACACAAACAAGTAGAACAGCCTACGCAGTTTGCGTTCAGTGGATACTCTCCAAAATGGCGCTACGGTGACGCAGAGGAGACGAATTGTTGAATTAAGTCGTTATTTTTGTTTTCTTTGCATACAAAAAGTATTCTCGTCGCTTCATAAAATTCAGATTGAACCACTGATGGCAGATGTACGATTTTGACGATGGCTTTCATACTTTTTTGGGCCTTGACGGTGTTATTTACTTGGCAGTCAATGCCAGGTTTTCATCCAAAATATCTTAAATTGTGTTCCGAAGACGAACAAAGCTTTTACGGGTTTGGCACGACATGGGGGTAAGTGATTAATGACAAAATTGGGGGCAAAATATTTTGGGGTGGAGTAACCCTTTAAGCTTGAGATCACATCATCACAGCTGAATGAGCTCAGTGCTTCATGAAGGAGCTTCAGAAGAGGCTGCTCATAAGGCAGAGTGAACTGGGCACTGAACAGATTAATGAAAATCCTGTAAACCACAAATTTAGAGCAAAAGGATAAGCTTTCATCCCCAGAGGTCAAAGAGTCTTACTTTAATACAAAAAAAGTGCAAAACAAACTCTCAGACAAATAAGCCTTTCAATCAGGCCTAGTTGTATCACATAACCTATATGTGAATTTCTTCATCTGGGAATGTTCATACAATTTATGGGCTGGAGGCATGACAACAATAACACATCCTTGCAATATCTGTGACAAGCGCTCACAGCTGTAATGTTTCACACATAAGACTAAAAATATGTGTTTACTAACGGCTCATTTCTATTTCAAAATTTAGCACACACTCAATGGAGCCTTGGGCACTGCTACACTCTAAAAAATGCTGGGTTAAATACAACCCAGTGCTGGGTAAAATAGGGACAAATCCAGCAATTGGGCTGTTTTGACCCAGGGGTTTGGTTAAATGTTTAACCCAACCTTCTGGGTAGTAACCCAACCGCTGGGTCAAAACAACTCAATTGCTGGGCTTGTCCCTATATTACCCAGCACTGGGTTGTATTTAACCCAGCATTTTTTTAGAGTGTAGGTCAACTGAATACCTTTTAACAGGTCAGACTCAGAGAGGAACAAATTACTGTGAGGTGCAACAGCAAACATGAAATCAAGAATGCTCCATTATCAGAATCTATAACATTACGCTTACGATTTTTATAAACCTAAAATGTCTGTATACATTTAAATATATAGTTGCCTATATTTTTGGAAGGATGTCCCTCACAAAATGATCATCATATAAAGTAAAGCACAATAAAATAAAGATGGAACCTAAACCCAGACAATGTAGAGGAGGTATAAAGCAAAGTGAACTGTGAGAAAGTATACAAAAGAGAACAAACACTGAGATGAATTCATTAACAGAATCACCAGCAGAACAAACACCCCTAGATCAGTGTAGAAGCAGGAAATGCAAAACAGCACAGCCGACACAGCATTAATCTCAAAGATGGCGTAACGATAGCCACTGAACTTGAGAAAAGGGCATCTTTTCCTAAGATATTGTCAGTACTTGTTTAGATAACGCTTCACACATTATGCAGCTACCAAGATCTCCATATGTGACGTGGGCCTCAACCTCACCACATCTAGATACACTTGACAATACGTTAGCATTACCCTGAACCATCTGTTCCTTAATAAATGCGCATAGATCAAAATCCCACTAGCCCTTTGTATGGTCTTTCTGTCCACATTTGTGACAATTTTAACTGATCAGGCTCTAATAGTGGACAGAGAAAAAAAACTAGAAAAAGGAAAGTTAACATAATACAAAATAAAAAAAAGAAAAATAAATTTAATTTACATTATAATACAATCAATAATAAAGTATAACTTAATAACATATCTAATTTTAGCCAACAATAGCACTGACAAATAAAACCCCATCATTTAATTCTGTGAACATGTCTATAACATTACGCTTACGATTTTTATAAACCTAAAATGTCTGTATACATATAATATATAGTTGCCTATATTTTTGGAAGGATGTCCCTCACAAAATGATCATCATATTAGGGGTACTTGGAGTTAAAAAGTTGAAACACATTCTGAAAGTCACTTTTGTTTAACTTAACCAAGCAGAAAATAAAGCTTGAATTTATACCAGAGCTTCAAATTCAAGCAGACTCAAATGAAAAAGGCGAACTGTAACGTTACATGAATGGACAAAGCAACGCCATTCATAGATGACACAGCGCTATACAGTAGCGCACAAACTCGCCACCAAAATACTGATATTTTATTGGCAAAAAAATACAACAACAACCAAATAAACCCTAGCAGCATTTTCAGAACATTACCAAGCTTTTGTCCCATCAGACTATGACAATGAATGAGCCGATGTGCAGGGCATGATCTCCCTCACATCGGTCCAGAGTTGCGTCTCCACTGTCTACGGCACTTCTCTTTTGTTGGTTGGTTGTTTTCATTGTGGCGCCAATGCAGCAACATACAGTAGAGTTAAAAAGACCATAAACACACCGACTCACCTCGACGCGAAACACCGCGCAGCCCTTGAGAAACTCCGTGATGTTGCTCAAGCACTCGCTGTCGTTCTTGGGATCCTGATAGATCTGAGGGAAACGGGAAGAGCCGTTAAAAAGCGTGAGAGCTTTGGGAGCGAGGGGCTGCCTCGAGTATCCTGTATGAGAGTCCACGGGCTGACTGCCTGACTATCACCACTTCCACACACACATCGCGAAACAGACCTGCAGCACCGTGGAAGTGGACAGCAGGAAGCGGCAGGAAGTGACGTCCGCAGATGGACACCGAACACAATGGGGCGAACGGGACCTGATCAACACACCCTTGCTCTGGCGGGGCAAATTAAAACAGGCCCGTCAGTCAGAGCAGGTATTTTGAGAGGTAAATGAGGAGAATGTAAATCAAAACTTTCTTACAGCAGTTAAATCATTCGGATGTATACAGGCATCTGTATATATCACATTTTGGGCTCTGGCAGTGTATTCGCCACTCTGTGAAGAGTTTTTATTTTATTTTATTTTTTTTAGAAAATGTCTGTTCGTCAAATTCAAAACTGACAAAACTCCAGCGTTGATGTCAGTCACTTAATTTTGTTGTATACTGCAGCATGAAGGCAGGGGTTTGCGGGGCCCCAGTGCAGGTTGTACCAGCTGGGCCCTGTTTGAAATTGTTTAATTTGTATGTTCGTTTTATTTATTTATTTGTGCTATTTACACAATGTTTAGGGGTTTTTTAAGTTTGTAGGTGTTCAGGTACAGAAACGGAATAATCAAATGTAAAATAGCACTGCATAGTCTTCCATGTAAAAATGAAATATACAGTCAAACCTAAATGTATTCAGACACCTTCAACATTTCTCACATTATCAGAGTTTATTTGCTATAGTTTAGAAAATGGTAGGCTAATAAAATATGACAAGAACTCAAGAGTTAAACTGTGTCAGAACAAATTCATCTTGATAATGGCAGATTACTTTGATAGAAAGGTATGTAATGGATTACAATCAACCAAAAAATTCAGACAACTGTTAGTATGACAATATTTACACAACTATGAATACTTTGTTGACCAATTACCAAGCAATGCTTAATTTTGTTCAGTCTGTGGTGTAAAAAGGTCACATTAGTAATTAAAGAAAAAACACTTAGGCAAAACATGGTGTCTGAATAATTTTTGGTTCCAAATTTTTTATAAATTTTACTGGTAGTCCACTGTATGAAGAATTTTTGAGTATAATATGTCACAGTTTACTTTATTTTGCTATACTCACTTACATAAATTAACTATAGTGTCCTGCACCCACTAGTAAAAAAAATTCTAAAATTGTATCTGGTATGTGAATCATTTTTGGTTTGACTGTGGATTAATTCTTGTTAAAACTACAAAGTAATTCAGTCAAGAGCAGTGAGTGATTTTCTTTCTTTCATTTTCTTGGATTAACATTAAGGACACCGACAGCAGCTAGTAGCTAAATTAGGCGCGGTCACTTCAAGAGACAATGCATCCATTATAATGATGCACATCCGATTTCTTTCTCCATTGTTTACTTTCACTTAAGACATAACCGACAGTTTTTTCGAGGATACTCTCCAAGACTGGTATTTTGACATAATTTTGTATGTATTTATCGGTACAAGAGCAAGAAGAGGCAAATTCGGTGTTCAAGCGCTTTGAAACGTGTCCCTCTGCGTGCGCCCTGTGCGCACAGAACACCTCACCCGGGTACTGAATTGGGCTCTTTCACATGGTTTTCTGTTTGCATGTTTAGACTGCGATTTGTATGTGTTCGTTCAGGTGCAGGAGGACGCGAAGGAGAGCTCGGCCTGGGGGGGGGCCTCAGCCATGGGCCCATATAATAGTCACCACCTTTCACCCCACTAGCGACGGCCCTGCATTAAGGCAAATGTTGTCAATGTATTGTGAGCTGACCAACATACAGAAAGGAAAGCACACGGTGGAATGACACTGACTACGTTTACGTGGATATCAGTAATCTAATTATTTACCTTATTATAAATAAGCGAATATTATGATTGTGGTGTTTGCATGAGTTGCTTTTAGAATATTCCTTTCATGTTCCTGTTTTACATCTTATATAGCCTACATAGACATAGTTCGATTAATGGCACACGTCATTGCGTCACCACGCGATGCCATCCGATGTCCCCTCCGGAATTTCACGTATAAACATATAGTTCGTCTTCGTGATAATTCCATGTACAGTTTTGGTTTTTTCATTTTTAAGTTTATGAAAGTGCAGTTAATTATTTGTACGTGCATACAGACGACGGCGGGTGTTGAAGCTCTTTTATTTGCCATCAATTGGTTGAGCACTGCCGTGTGTGTATCCTGTCGCAAAATGCAGCGAAAAGTCCTACACGACGGTAATAATGTGATTAAAGTGTTTACATGTCTTTACTGCACTTCAATAATGCGACTAAAATAGGAATACTCCACATGTCTTAATTCGATTAGTGTTTACTTTCATTATGACTTTAGCCGGATTAAAGTAATCAAAAATCTCTGTTTACATGGTAGATTCTTAATCGGAGTATTGTCTTAATCATATTGTTATCGTATGAGTCTTGTTGTCCATGTAAATGTACTGATTGAAATGTGTTTGGGGGTGGAACCAGAAGAAATTAAGTCAATATATTATCACTGTAAAAATGAAATTAATTAATTAATTAATAATACTTGATCCACCATTTGGTTTCTCAAGATTGGCACCGATTTAAACCTTCTTGAGAATCACTCCCTTTTTAAACTAGCTTGGATATCTTTATTGTGTACTTAAAAATTAACTTCGAAATATATTTCAAGTGCATCAAAGCCTTTCCCCTTTAATGGGGTTACTGGGGGTTACAGTTTTTTATGTTCTTTCAGGAACTGCAGTGTGCTACATTTTCTATGGTCCCCAGAGACGTGTGCCTAGAGCAGGGGTAGGCAAGTTCGGTCCTAGAGAGCCGCAGTCCTGCAGAGTTCAGCTCCAATCCTGAAAACAAAACTCACCTGCCTATAGCCTTAGTAATCCTGAAGACATTGATTAGCTTGTTCAGGTGTGTTTGATTAAGGTTGGAGCTGAACTCTGCAGGACTTTACCGAACTTGCCTACCTCTGGCCTAGAGGTTCTCCAGAGGGTTCTGCCAGTGTGGCAATCTGTTTCTCATTTTCACACTACAAAATTATCAGATTTGGATAAAAGGGGTTAAAAGGAATCCTTGTATATTTTTTAATGGGGGATGCCTGCCAAGCCACTGAGCCTTGTGTGAAATAATCATAGGAATAACAGTATCTACAAGAAATGCAGTGCTCAGTCACAGGAGCGGTTTCTCAGACGAGGTTTAAATTCATTCTGGAGTAGGCTTAATCTAGAATAATTAATCATGTCTTTAAAAATGGCTTTCTGAAACACAGATTACTAACTCCTGGACTATGGAGTCCTGTACTAAAATAAACTAGATTAATTTAAAACCAGCTGTGCTAATCTGAATTAGCATGACAGAGGTTGCCTATAAAACATGGAATGAATTCTGGAGTAGGCTTAATCTAGAATAATTAATCATGTCTTTAAAAATGGCTTTCTGAAACACAGATTACTAACTCCTGGACTATGGAGTCCTGTACTAAAATAAACTAGATTAATTTAAAACCAGCTGTGCTCATCTGAATTAGCATGACAGAGGTTGCCTATAAAACATGGAATGAACCAAGACAAGTTTAAAATTGTATGGAACTGAGAAGTAATTCTAAGGAAAACAATTGCAGCAGAAAAAAGACCATAATCAAAACAAAAACTTTACTGAACATGAGGAAACTTTTTTTAAAGCAAGCAAAATAAACTGCAATCTTGCAATCAGGTGTTGTCAGTTTTGCAACATTTTTATTTATTTTTTTTATTATGTTATATATAATGCAGCTGTTACAGAGAGAGCGAGAGAGAGTCATGGTCAGAATTATTAGCACCCTAAGTACATATGATCAAAGAGGATTGTGAAAATAAATCTGTATTGTTTATCCTTTTGATATTTAAAAAAAAGTAGTAAATAAAAAATAAGTAAATAAAAATTAAATAAAAACTAAATATAAAAAGTTTTTAAAAACTTTTTAAAAAAAATTATAAAACCCTTTAATAAAACCCTTAGAAATTATTATTATTAGTAAAATCTCAGAAGATCTATATTTCCATTCATATTTACATTTGTTAGCACACCAGGGTGACTAGGAACATGCAATTATCCAGCCATGACTTCCTGTTTCACAGGAGTATAAATATGAGGAACACAAAGGCCAAATTCTCTTAATCATTCGTCACAATGAGAAAAACCAAAGAATATAGTTCTGATGTACAGCAACAGATTGTTGACCTCTACAAAATACGAAGTCAACAAAATAGAAAGTAAAAATAAATAAATAAAAGTAAGAAAATAGCTAAAGCATTGAAAATTTCCATTTCCACCATTAGGACAATAATCTCCTCTCCACCAGTAAGCTGGTGTGTGGTGGGCAATATGGCTGCCGTCGCATCATCCAGGTGGATGCTGCACACTGGTGGTGGTTGAGGAGATTCCCCCCTTTCATGTAAAGCGCTTTGAGTACCCAGAAAAGCACTAAATGTAACGAATTATAGTTTGAGTGGCTGAAGACTCTGCAAGGAGTCTTGGGGTCAGAAAACCTCAACAACAAAAAAACATTTCAAACACCACCTACACCTACCAATAGTTGTTTGGGAGGGTTTGAAGCAAAATCTTCTACTTTCATTCAAAAACAAATTCCAGCATATTCAGTTGCCACACACTACTGGAACTTAAAACAGGACTGGGTTCTATGGTCAGATGAAACAGAAATTAGCTCTTTTTGCAGGAAACACTCAAGGTAGGTTTGTTGCACACAGGGATCAAAAGTACTCCATGTGTACAATGAATATATACTGCTGTATCTTTAGTGTTGTTGGCCTACTTTTCTGCCGGAGGTCCTGGACATCTTGTTCAGATATATTGCATCATGGATTCTAGCAAATACCAACAGATAAAAAATCAAAACCTGACTGACTCTGCCTAAAATCTTATAATGGGCCTTGTTTGGATCTTCCATCAGGACAATGATCTAAAAAGACCATCAAAATCAACAAAAAAAATGGGCCACTGGTTACAAAATGAAGGTTCTGCCATGGTCATCCCAGTCCTCTGATCTGAACCCTATATATATCTGAAGAGGAGAGTGTATCAACATGGACCTGGGAAGCTGAAGGATCTGGAGAGATACTGTATAAAATAATGGTCTGCGATCTCTTGTCAGGTGTTCTCCAAACTCATCAGACATTATAGGTGAAGACTCAGAGCTGTTATCTTGCCAAAGTAAGGTTGCAAAAAGTATTGAATAAAAGGGTGCCATTAACTGTAGCCAGTGTGTATTAGAGAAAAACACTGCTGTCATAATGAGATTTCCCTTCCCTACCATTTTGCTATTTTAAAGTTTAGGGTTGTGTGAGTGTGTGTGTGTGTGTGTGTGTGTGTGTGTGTGTGTGTGTGCATTTTTATGTTGTTTATGAGGACACAAATTTGTATAATAACATGGGTATGACATAGGTATTACAACGAGAAGGTGATTTATGAGGACATTTTCAGTGTCCCCGTAATTCAAAAGGCTTATAAATAATTCAGAATGAGTTTTTTTGAAAATCTAAAAATGCAGAAAGTTTCCTGTGAGGGGTAGGTTTAGGGGTAGGGTTGGTGTAGGGCAATAGAAAATACGGTTTGTACAGTATAAAAACCATTACGCCTATGGAGAGTCCCCATAAACCATAAAAACAAACCTGTGTGTGTGTGTTTGTTTAAATAAAAAATCAGTGCAGATTTATTTTCACATGCTTCTTTGATCATATTTACCAAGGGTGCCAATATGTTTGATATATAAAGACTGAAAACACAATGTTAATCTGAAGTTAAACCTGCCTCCTGGTAGGTTTAATTTAAGCCTCAATTTAGTCCTGAAGTAGCTTTAGTCTTCCTTCAGGAAATAAACCTTTTAAATTCTGGACTAGACTAAGTATAAGACTATTTAAAATCATGACAGTGAAAGCAGATTTCTGTTAATCTGGTTCAAAGGGACATTTTAGGACTAGGCTTACTCTCTGACTGGGAATCTGCCCCATAGTGTCTCAACCCTCTTTCAGGGCGGCGCCTTTCTGTTTTATTTAGTTTCCCCAAACTGAATCAAATGCAAATAATATTTGCAAATAACAAATATATTCTGTAGATTTTTACATTTACATGTGAATTACAGTTAGACGTACAGTTACATTAAATAATTTACAAAGGTGTAATTCTACAAAACTGAAAATTGTCATCTTTCTCACCCTCGTTGTTCCAAACCCATGACTTTTGTTCAAATCAGAAATTAAAATATTTGTATGAAAGTGCAATTTGATTTGCTTATATTTTCATTCTTTAACATCTCTCAGCAAATCAGCTCGCACTGTCAATAAAGCTTTCCTTTGCAGTGTCATCCTATTAGAAGCTGCAAATGATACCTAAGACTGTACTGTAGCTAGGAAATGGATGCTTCATTTTAAGTCAGGGGGCCTAACAGCTGAAGCTAGCATATATTTGCATGTTGTAGTGAATTGTCAGGACGCCTTATGTCTGAACACTCTCATCTTTTCTTTAAAATATTCTATTCTTAGAGAGACAAAATGGGGTAACG